CAAGGATGTCCTCTATCACCAATTCTTTTCAACATCGTATTGGAAATCCTACCTAGGGCAATAAGACAAGAAAGGGAAATCAAAGGCATCCAAATTGGTAAGGAAGAAGTAAAACTATCCTTATTTGCAGACGATATGATCCTACACAGAGAACCCAAGAGATTCAGCAAGAAAACTACTGGAACTTATTGAAAGACTTAGCATATGGTGGATACAAGATCAAGATACAAAAATCAGTTGGATTCCTCTACACCAGCAAAGAGGTATTTGAAAAGAAATCAATACCATTTGCAATAGCTACCAAAAAGATAAGATAATTGGGAATAGATCTTACTAGGAACACAGAACACTTGTACAAAGAAAACTACAAAATACCACTTCAAGAAACTAGAAGAGATCAACATAAATGGAAGAACTTACCAGGCTCATGGATAGGAAGATTGAGCATTGTGAAAATGTCAATACTACCCAAAGCAGTCTATATATTCAATGCAATCCTGATCCAGATTCCATCAACATTCTTTAAAGACATGGAAAAGCCAATCACTGATTTTATATGGAAAGGAAAGAGACCTCAGATATGCAAAGCACTACTGAAGAAGAACAAAGTCAGAGGTCTCACACTCCCAGGTTGCAAAACCTACTGTACAGCCACAATTGTCAATACAGTCTGGTATTGGTACAATGACAGACACATACACCAGTGGAACAGAATGGACAACCCAGAAACTGACCCATTGACCTGGAGTCAGCTGATCTTTGACAAAGGGCCTAAATCCATTAAATGGGGAAGAGGTAGTCTCTTTTACAAATGGTGCTGGTAAAACTAGATATCCACTTGCAGAAAAGAAACAAGATCCATACCTCACACCATACACAGAAACAAACTCCAGATGGATCAAAGACTTAAATGTTAAACCTAGAACTATAAAGTTCATCTAAGAAATAATAGAGGCAAACATAGGGATCATAATTTATACATAAACAGACTATCAAGAATAACCCAAAATGCACAAACAGCAGAAAATAAACTAGATGATTTGGACCTTCTAAATAAATTCTTATGTGCACCAAAAGACTTCTCCAAAAGAGTAAAAAGAGAACCAACAGAATGGGAAAAAAAATTCAGCAATGACATATCAGACAAAGAACTTATCTCTGAACTTTATAGAAAATTCAAATACCTCAATACCAAAAGGCAAACAGCCCAATTAAAAAGCAGGCAGAAGATATGAACACACATTTCACCAAAGACGATATTCAGGCAGCCAACAAACACATGCTAATGGTGGTGGAATATTTTGGAAAAGGATAGCAACAATGGTGGCACAACATGAAAAATGTCATCAATGTCCCTGAGCTTTAAATGTAGAAGTTGTTATGCTGGTGAATGTCTTGCTGTATATGTTTTCACCACAATAAAAGTAAAACAAAAAAATTCTACATAGCACAGTTTTACCCTGACATACACAAGGTTGCCATGAGTTGGAGTCAAGTTGACAGTAACTGGTTAACTAGTTCATCCCAACAGATTCCCCACACACATATTAAGCAACTCCCCACTCCCAGCAGTCTGTACCCAAAGCCTGACCTCACACCCTTCAGCAATAGCCCTGCACCCTGCAGGCTGCCATCCCTCCCTCAGCACAAATGGACCACTGAGGCAGCTACAGGTGACCCTTATCCCCTGCTACAGGAACTCTAAGGGGAAGGAATGGGAAGAGGAGTGCCCAAGGGCTACTTCCCAGAGGAGAAAGCTGGAGTCGGGTTCTAAGAGCTGCAGGAATTAGCCACAGCACTGCTCATCATCACAAAGATATGCTTGAGTGTCACCTATTTTTAGAGGAGACCAACCCAGGATTCCATACTCCTTCAGGTTCTGAATTATTTCTCAGAGCCTCTTCACAGTAAAACTTTTATAAAGAATTAACTATGTTGTCCATGCCCCCAAATGAATCATTAATCCATACTGAAGGAGCTTCTGCCCACCATGATTCAAAAAGGCCACACTTCACTCAGGCTCGTGAGGGTCACCTTCCTGCATCCTATGACTTGTTTCCGTACAGTTCACCACTCCCAACCTACTGAAACCCACACTCCTGACCTCCTGGATTCCCCTTTCTCCTACTGTGTTTCCTGCAGCACACTATCTGTTTTAGAAGCCTTATGTTGTTAGTTGCTGTCAAGTCACCTTACTCATAGCAACCTATGTATAACAGAATGAAACATTGCCTGGACCTGCACCATCCTCATGATCATTGGTATGTTTGAGTTCATAGTTGCTAATCCTCTATTTCACCAAACATGATGTCCTTTTCTAATGATTAGTCTTTCTTGATGATGTGTCCAAGGTAAGTAAGATGAAATCTCACCATCCTTGTTTATAAGGAGCATTCTAGCTGTACTTCCTCCAAGATGGATTTGTTCATTCTTCCCACAGTCCATGGTATATTCAATATTATTAGGGTTTCTCAGCTACCCACCCAAGGTCACCTTCCCTTCTTTCACTATGCCCACACTTTAAATACCACCTGTATGTTGATGACCCTAGATTTACACATGAAACCCAGCCCACAATGAGTCCTCCAACAAGTATCAAATTCCATTGGCATCTTGACATCTCTACTCAATTTTAACTCCATCTCAATTTTAATTATAGATTTTCAAATTATAATAACAACCCTAGTCTTCCCCATTCATTCAATGGAACCAACAACTATTCAATTGTTGGACCAAGATATCAGAATTCTGTCTTGATTTCCTTCTTCCTCTCTTGCATCTAGTTAATCAGTAAGTGCTATAGATTCTATCTCCAGAGTGTAGCTTGAATTTATTTCTTTCTATCCACTTATTATCACCTTAGATTCCAGCATTCTGTTTATCATTTGCACAGCACTTTTCTAAATTTGAAGTTGCACAGTTATTTCTTAGTATAAGCACCTTGATGACAGAGGCCAATCTCATACACCCAGGAACCGGTATACATTTCCAAAATCACTTTATACCCAGCACCTGGTATATACCTGGCAGCCAACAACCACATACATCCAGCATCTGGCATACTTCTCCATTCCTTTTCTCCAACCTTCACTTTCAATGGAAACAGAGCTAGACACTTCCTTTCTTCATTTCCACCTGGCACCCAGATCATTCTCTGACTGTCTAAGTTGGTCAAACAATCCCAGGGGCAATCCCTGGTTATCCATGTTTTCCCAGCATATGTATTAATCATGCCTTTTTACTCTCAAATTGTCCTAATTTGAAAAATAAAATCATACAGGCATCCTACTTATATATTATGGATGGCAAACATCTGGCACATTCTCTGGTGGGTTTCCCAAGAGCAAAGAGCATGATCTATCCATAGCACTGTCATCTGCCACAGTGAGTGACACATACATAAACATTTGTTAAATGAAAGAATAAATGCAAGAATGTCCCATTATGAGATCAAAGTGGATGAAAGAACTAAGTGATTGTTCTATGCCCATGAGTCAGCTATTCCCAAGTCTCTGTTCTATGGACCATCTAGATCTTGGGCACAAATAGATATGTGCACACCCATGTTCATTGCAGCACTATTCACAATGGCAAAGAGATAGAAACAACCTAAGTGCCCATCAACAGATGAATGGATAACCAAACTATGGTACATATATACAATGGAATATTATGCAACATTAAAGGAAAATGAAGAATCTGTGAATCACCTCATAATGTGGATGAACTTGGAAGACATTATGTTGAGTGAAATAAGGCAATCACAGAAGGACAAATATTGTGTGAGCCCATTACTACAAAAAGTCAAGGAAAAATATACACAGGGAAGAATTCTCTTTGTTGGTTACCAGGGATGGGAGGGGAGGGGAGAGAAAATTCCCAACTAGTTAAGAATCATGTGTTGATTTGGGTGAAGGGAAAGGCAATATAACAAATGTGTGTGACCAGCACAATAACATTAAGGAAAAGGAGGACACAGAGAGGTGCACAAGATATACAGAAATTAAAAGTAAATACTATTACATATACAATATTGCATTATTAGTAATAACAAACACCTTTCTACAGGTGAACACACAGGTAGATAGGCAAGAAGATCATGTATGGGTAGGCTATTCCTACATGTATATTTGTATGTGCTATAAAAACATCAATATACATTATAGAGCTAATGGAAAAAAAGTTAAGAAAACTTCTTAGCCACAACCAAACACTTCAGAGGAGTGAGTTGCTGGGCCTATGGGCTCAGGACCATGGTTGTGGGAAACATCAACCTCAATTGACACAACATAATACACAAAAACATCGTTCTATATCCTACTTTGGTGAGTAGTGGCTGGGGTCTTAAAAGCTTACGAGTAGCCATCCAGAACAAAGAAGCATGAAGAAAACCAAAGACATATGGAAACAATTAGTCCGAGAGACTAATGGGCAATGAGAACCTCAGCCTACATGGCCCTGAGACCAGAAGAGCTAGATAGTGCCAGCTACCAACGCCAATCACTCAGAAAAGGATCAAAATTGGAGATGCTGGATAGACTGGGAGAAAAAATGTCAAAATTCAAAAACATAAAGATCAGAATTACTGGTGAGATAAAGAATGATGAAACACCCAAGACTATGGCCCCATGTCACCCTTCAGGCCTGGAAGTGGACTCACTCCCATGGGTTCACTCTCAGTCAAACAACCTACAAGCTGAATAACTACACCAGAGAGATGCACTCCTCAGAATAGTCAATCATGAGATAACAGAAGGGCAGCATTTGCAGAGGGAGAAACCTAGACAGGCAGGAATGCATAGGTAAGAAGAACACAGGGAAGTGGTAACCACAGGTAGGAGCTGCTTAGAGAACTGATACATTGTGAAGATTGTAATCACTGTCCTGAAACAAAATATGTATGAACTGTTGAGTGAAAAATTAATCTGCTTTGTAAAATTGCACACGAATCACAATAAAAATTTTAAAAGAAAAAGAAAATCCCTAAACCATTCTAATACCATCTTGGAAGAACATAGTTGATTACCTTCACATGTATGGTTTGGCTTCAGGGGAGACAAGGTCGGGGACTCCTGATGACAGACACATTGGTATGAGCCCTCCACATTTAAACAGCATTCTCTTCCAGAGCAGGTGTTGAGTTCATTGAAGAGACATTCATTCACATCTATGGAAGACAATAGTTCAGAATGTTCATTAGAGTCATAACCACTTCACCATTCTCATTAATCTCTAAATGGGTATCATCCATGGATTTGCATGACATAAGTAGAGCAGGTGCTTTGGGCAGTTGCTCTGAGGGTGAATACTTAAACCATGTCTTAGAGAACCTAATACAGCCCACTAACCTACTCAACGGGAGCTCTGGTAGCATAGTGCCTAAGGCACTTGACTGCTAACCAGAAGGCTCACAGTTCAAATCCACCAACCACTCCTCGGAAGGAAGATGGGGCAATCTACTTCTGTAGTGATACTGCCTTGGAAACCCAAGGAGGGGTCACTATGAGTCGGGTCCTACTTGACAGCACCTAACACCAACAACAAGAACCTACTCAACCAGACAGCATATATGGCACACCCATCTTGCAGCCACTATATGCCCTTAGGTAGCTACTGTTGCCTGAGCAAATTATTTTGGGGCTGTATGGAGTCTGAGTGGCTATAACATGTTGGAGCCAAACTCTCATGCCACATATAAATCTTGTGAATAAGCAGCTTTCTGAGCTGAGAAAGAAAAGAGAACAGCCCCAATATGTGGAAGATGACTTGGCATTCACAGCCTGACCACGTCATTCTCCTATTAAATCACCTTACAGAACTGCAACCTCAGACAAGGGCACTCTGAGACCACAAGCAAGATCACTTTGTAATTTTGTCTGAGCACAAAAACAAGGTCATTGTGTCACCCACAAAATACCAAACACCCCTCTCTCTGAGTGAAAATGAATGACCTTACTTTTTCATCAATTACAGTGTTAACCTCATGCCAGTCACCCCTTGCTATAGAGAAGAGTGACTGAGATACCTGATTATAGAATTAACCACTTTCTGACACTGAGTAATTGAAACAGAGACTATGTGGCTGGAAAGTAAAAAATATTTACTCTCTGGCCATTTTTAGAACTGGTTGTCAACCCCCTAACATAGAGTTAAAAAGAAAGGAGAAAGAAGAAGAGGAGGAGGAGAAGGAGAAAAAGAAGAAACAGCAGCAAAAGAAGAACAGAGGGGAAGGAAAGAAGGAGAATGAGGAGAAGGAGAAGAAAAAGAAGAAGGAAGAAAAGAAGGAAGGGGAGAAGAATAGAAGAAGAAGGTAGTTTCTTCCAGGCCACATCTGTGTGCTTTACAGAATACAATTTTAGCTTTGTGCAAATTCTTCTGAAAAAGCCTACTCAATACAAGGATGTCTGTGGTGAGAGTGGGAAAGACTATGAAATTTTAGAACCAAAGAACTGAAGAATCAAGTTCTTGTATTTTTCTGAGATTTGGGTAAAAGATAAACCTGCTCACAGAGTAGTGAGAAAGGTCTGAGAAGATGTCAAGGAGAAACAAAAGGAAGGAGAGAGAAAAGATGGATAGGAGAAAAACAAAGGCTCAAGTCTCTGCTTTGGATCTTGGAGTTTAAACTTGGATCAGAATAATCTAGATATGTATCCAAACACACCAAACCTGACAGATTCATACACTTAACTATTATCCCACTCAAGCATCTAAACCTCCTTAAAGTGTGAAAGATGGGATTTTAGCATTAAAATCTATCTGACTTCCATCTGTCAGGTTGCATCTTCCCACATTGCAGCCTCCTCCAAAAAAGAGGACCAAGGGAAATCACAACCTTGCACCTGAATGTTGATCACTTCACAGACACGCCGCACGATGTCGTCCAGCACTGCAGAGATGTTGGCCACAGGCAGTGGCTGCGTCAGGCCGAGCAGCAGCTGTGACACTGTGATGGAAGGGTCCCTGCTGGCTGAGTGCAGGTGGTGGACAGTGGAGTCCAGCGGCTGAAGGGCACTTGTGACCTGTGGAAGCAGAGTCAGCACATCACATGGTGGAAGGGTGACCCCATTTAACAGATTAGACTGTGGTTTAAAGAAATTAAAAGTAATGGTCCAAATTCACTCAAAGGGTTAGTCACAGGCCTCAAGGTGAGTGATTTTTATACAAAAGGCTTGTTAGATCAATATGATAAAAACAAATAAATAAATAAGCTGCACACACATAAATACACATTCACATGTATATACTGACACACACATACATATGTATACACACACTCACACTATCACATACAGATATATATATATACTCACTCAAATACACTCATGAATACATATTCACACAATCACACTCAAATACATGCACACACGTACACATAGACTCACACTCTCACACACACATACACATATAGACTCACACCTTCACACACCTATACTACTAAATTCACATGCACATACACATATACTCACACAACACACAAATGCACACACTCACACACAACCTGTTCTGCTCTACAGAAAAGAACCTCTACTATATTTTGACATCTGGGATCATCCCAAAAAAAGTCCTGCAAACCAGAATTGCAAGTATGTGTGCAATACCAGTTAACCTCTGGTATCAGATCACCACCCTCACTGATGCTATAGGACTCTCACAGCTCGTAATAGAGAGAAATAGAGCTGGAGACCAAAGCCATGGCCTCAGGTGGTATACATCTGATAATTTTAAATGGTTTAATGTTTCATCTCTCATTTCACATGAATTCTTTTAGTTTCAACCTGAACCTTGAATGTCAACCCCAGCAAAGCCAGCCGAACCAATCACCCTGCACAACCAGAACAGTGTCACCAAAACAGACTTGTCTAACCAATCCTTAAGTTTCTGTTGGGAACAAGAAAGAAGGTCTGGGAAGAGCTGGAGTCTTCCCCTTTGCCAACTTTAAACATTTCCAAGAAAAGAGATACAACTCATAATTTAGAAGGCAGAAGAGAAATGGGAAATTCTTATTCAGCAGCTGAACCAAACTTTTCTGCTATCGTTAGCACCTGCTGCCATCAGCATTCTCCTTTGGGGAGGTAATAATCTGGTTGGAGAAACTAAACCTACTCATATGAAGAGATAATAGGTGACATGCAACAATAATATTTTAAATACCAAAACCCACAACCACTTGAACCTACACATATCAGGCACCATTTCAAGTTCTTTGCATGCTCTAACTTATTTAACCTCACTACCACCCTTCATATAGGAGTACATTTATTTTATTTAATGGAAGAGTTATCAGCTGATGAGTGGCAGCACTGGGATTTGAACCCAGGAAGTCTAACTCCAGACTCTTGCTGACCAATTGGGAAGCTCTCAGCAAGGAAACAGAAAGCACTCTCAGCTGGAGTGGTCCAGAGGGTTCAGGCAAAGGTTAGTGGAACACTTCTCAAGCAGCTGTACTGGACAGCCCAGAACATAGAAAGTTTTTATGTCAACTGTTCCTGACCAAGAGGAAGTAGCTGGGTCCAAAGACTAAGGAGGGACTCAACCCTACATCTGATACCATGACACCAAGCTGCCATGGGATCTGAAGGTCACAAAGGACAAGTTACATAATGTGCAGGACACAATGCAGAATGAAAATGCAGGTCCCCTAGTCACAGGGGACATCAAGCTCAACTGGCATAACATACTACACAAAAACATTGTTCCACATCCTACTTTGGTGAGTAGTGACTGAGATCTTCAACACTTGCAAGCAGACATCTAGATGTAACGATGGGTCTCTCCTCATCCAGAGCAAAGAAGAATGAAGAAAACCAAAGACACATGGAAACAATTAGTCCAAGCAACTGGTACACCATGTGATCCTCCAACTATATGACTATGAGACCAGAAGTAGTAGATGGTGCCCAGCTACCTCTGTCAGCCACTCGGAGGGGGATCTATGTAGGAGACCTGGATAGAGTGGGAGAACAATGTGGAACAAATCTCAAAATAATTTGGGGAAAAAAAAAGAGAGAGAGACCAGGTTTGTTGGTCTGATAGAGCCTGCTGTTGTTGTTGTTGTTGTTAAGTGCCGTCGAGTCATTTCCGACTCATAGCGACAC